CCACTTAGGGGGCGAGCCAAGCAAGCTATGGGCAACTTGAGTAATCCTGAGAAGCATTTAGGAGCATTTGTCGGAGACTTGGCTTTTGAAGATGATTCAGGCAGGTAACTTCCGATTGTTTTTTCCCTTAATTTCCGGTACGAATTATTCTTCTGATTAGAATGATCTCCTTTCATTCTGTCGCGCTTGATCAAATCAAGTTTAGTCTTTTCAATTTTTTTTGCTGGACAGTGAGGATATATCATTGGACGGGCTTCAGCAAGAGCTCGAAGTATGTCAAAGTGATGAGGTAAAGCTGAGATCAATGTTTTAAAGTAGTTTTTTTTTTTCCTCTGTACTAGCCCTTTCCAGCTGAAATTGATGCACTTTAGATCAATGTCATTTGAGTTACTCTCTACTTGGTTAGTCATATACTCTTAGATTCAGGGATCTGATGTACTCTCTATGTTGTTTGTTTGTCAGCTCAGGTTGTTGCCAATATACTATCCAGTGGTGCCAAACTTAGAGACTATGCAAAAGATGTAGAAAACAATCTAAGTTGAAGGTTGAATCAGAATCAATTCAGGTTGTTATTCTTACCTATGATACAGTTTGGTACTTATCATCTTATATTTGTCCTGTAATATATTTGCAAGTAGCTTACTTTAGTGTTTTACCATCCATGAATACCCAGGACTACATAAAAGAAAGTGATAATCTAGTCTCGCTTCACGATCAGCTTCGTGATTGTGACGGCATCTTGTGTCACAAGTGGAAACTCTCCTCAGTGGATTTCAGGTACTTGACATTTATATCATTTGTGTGTATGGGCTTCTTTCTCCTTGTGCTGACTTTTGCATATTTAATGAGAGGAGTTTGTTTACTTTTTGAAGTACCTATCTGTTGTTCCCTTGTAATCGGAATGCACTTTTTGCTTCTTCTTTTCTTTCAGGAAGGGATTGGTTCTATAAGTTCAGACATAAAGATTCTTCAAGAAAAATCAGTGGACATGGGTTTGAGATTGAAAAATCGCAGGGTATATAGCCAATCAGAAGCCACTATTAGTATTATCTCTTGCTGCTTCCACCTATGACTTCATCCAAACGAGCTCTTATATTTGAACAGGTGGCTGAATCAAAGCTAGCAAAATTTGTCGAAGACATTATAGTACCACCAAAGATGATAGATGTGATTGTTGATGGAGAGGTATTTTTCAATTTCCCGCTTTTTATGTACCTTTTGGTAGTGTCTACTTTTTCCTTTTGTTTCTGGTGCTGTAAGAATTACTGATTTGGTGCATTGCATATTCTGTACTCTCACAAACATGGGAAAAATAGAAAAGCAACATTTTCAGGTTAACCTTTGTATATGTTGCCACTATGTGTCGTAGTCCTTCTATATGTATTTAGGCCTACGTTTGATTGGTGAGGGTATTTTTATTTCTAATCTGATTGTCAATTTGTCATGCTATTTTACTTATTCAGGTGAATGAAGAGTATATGAAAACGCTTGAACTTCTAAGTAAGAAGCTGAAATTTGTGGAAGCAGATCAAGCAGTTAAAAGTTTCAAAGCATTAAAAGATGTAGAGCCCGAGCTTGGAAAGCTCCGGCAAAAAGCAATCTCTAAGGTTATTGATCTATTTTCTTTGTTACCTGATACCAAAAGTCAAAACAGACATTTGATACATGAATATTTCTTAAAGTTGTTAATTGTTGGATAAATAAGTACAGAAAAGTTAAGCCAACTTATTCTAACTCATTGAGATGAAACATTGTTCCTTCCCTCGAAAAGATTTTTAGTCCACGTTGTTTGTATTTGTTCTCTTCCAATGCCGAAAGGGTATGATATCGACGGAGCATTCTAAATCTGTTATCATGCAATAGATATATTTCCGTTTTGTAGGTGTATGACTTTATACCCAACTAACTAAAAACAATTCATAACACCCTTCCTAATTCTTACAACTCTTCCCTTGTAATTTTCTCTTCTTTACCCCTCTTTAATATATTATTATTTATATACAACCTTAATTAAATATATCAACAACTGAATTAAATAAATCACCAAAAAAAAAAACTGAACCTATAAAAAGAAGACACGTGGCCACCATAAAGGAGAAACTTCATCTACCCATATCCCCCGCCATCGCTCCCTCTTTGCTCTGAAACAAAAAAAAACAGAGTGATTTCTTCTCCATAAAGGAGAAACTTCATCATCCCATCCCGCCGGCGTCTTCTTCTCCATCTTGATAGAAACATAAGCTCTCGTTGTCGTCATTGTTCCACAACAATTCGTTGGATCCAACAAAAACAGAGTGATTTCCGATTTCYRTTATAATAGGGTTGTTAGGGTGTGTCATTGTTCTTATTATCTTTTTTCGTTAAAATAGGGTTATCAAGGTGTGTTATTTCTGATTTCTGAGTAGGTTTAGGGTTTCTCATGTCCATTGTTTAGTTACAATTGATGTTCTTATAATTTCGGAGATTTGTTAGTTTTGTATGTTTTTTTGGATATTGGTCTTGTGTTTGTAAGTATTTGAGGGTCATGGGATAGTTTTTGTAGTAAAATACAGCTTAATCGTTCTGAATCATATTTCTCGTTAGAGCAAG